GAGCTTGATGACAAAATATTCTGCAGCATAACGGCGTGGTTCATCGCCTCCAGCCACTGCGATTTGGGCAAGCGCATCCCAGTCAGCAGCTTCCTCATGGTGTTCTGGAGGACCCTGTTCATCCTCTCTGCTACACCATTCTGTTGGTACAGTAAGCGTAGGGGAGGGTGACGAGCCTCTTGATTCCTCTCTCAGCAAGGTAGTCCCTGAATCGCTGTATCTGAAATGCCCCGTCTGACTGAAAACTTTTCAGCTTCGTGTCTCCCTCCCGTTCTGTGGCAGCAAGCCATGCGACGAAGGCAAAGAAGGCGAGGTCGCATGACGTAGGTTAAGATGTCAGGTGTACCATGTCACGGCATCGACGAAGGTGATAACGTAGTTGAGGTCGGCCCGGCCGACTTCTCGCGGATATACAGTATGTCGCTATAAACTTTTTCGAGTGAAGCGTACTCTGGTGCGCTCGGGTTGTGATGCGACGGGAATTGTTGAGGAGGAAGATCTTCTTCCGGGAAAATAAAGCAGGTGTGTCGGGGTTGTCGGAGTTCACGACCATCGAGAAGTAGAAGAGCATCCTTGTCCACGACGTTCGCATGAATGGTGTCAAATTGTCTTGAATTGCCAGGATGTCTTGACCTTTGATGCCATATTTCCTCGCTCGCCTTGTGTCCCACAGAGCGGCGGTACAGATCTGAGTTGGCATAGAAGGCGGAGATGGCCGTGGCACTTCGATGCTGCTCGCGAGGATGTGCCTTCATCTACTTGGCGTCGATCGGCGGCGTTTCATAAACGGGTGACGTCTCAGGCGGAATTGCTTCGACGGGTGGCGCCGACAAAGTCTCAGCGATGGGACTTTCAGGAAGTTGTCTTGTCGGCGCTTGTGGTTCTGCTGCGTGTTGTATTTCGGCTTCTTGTTCCTCTGCTTCCTGCATTACCGCTAATGCCCGTGTGCTCTCTCCTTCAGGGATGGAGTTGGAGTACCAGAAACCGTCGCAGTCGAATTCGGGGTAAAGATCCGGCGGGTGCATCTAGGGCGCGAAGGAGACGACACCATCGTAGTCAGCAGTCTCGCGGTCTGGAACGAAGTCCAAGACAAAGACGCCGTGCTTCTAGATGGCTCTGCCGATGAAGAGACTGCCCTTCCCATGGTAGAGATGGAACTCCCGATCGAAGCTGTCACACTCCAGGTGAATACCCTTCGACATTAGCTGGCTGATGCTCAGTAGATTTAGTCGAGGTTGTCGATGACGAGCACTCGTGACATTTGTAGTATCACGTTTGTCTCGCTGGATTGTAACTGAATGAATTTTTCTTTTCGTGTACGTAGGTTCTGATTGTTGGCGACGGTGATGATGACTTCTCGGCTCAGGGTCTTCTCTCTCTGGACGAAACGTCCTGAGGAACACATTTGCTGTCCACAACAGCTATCAAGAAACCATGTATCGTGGCTGGACGGTTCGTCGCGAGCGATTGCAGCGTAAGTCGGGTTCGGTTGGAGCTGGGTCTGTGTCAGAGCTGGAGTTGTTCGTCGAGATTGCTGTGAGGCGGGGAGTCGGGTACGCAGAAATCTGTTCGTGCCATGCAACTAATGACATTTCGTGCGTCTTGTGCAGAGCGGTTCACCGGAGCTGGTGGGCGATGTTGAGTTGAAGCGATCGGACTCGGTGACGGACATGATGCTCGAGGTTGGTATTGCGGGTTGTGGCTGCTGCTGCTCCTGATGCTGCTGCTGCCTTGGGCAATTGAAGCGCGAGTGTCCAGTCGTGCGGCATCAATGACAATACGGAGGTGAGTGTCATTTCTGATGATGATTTTTATGGTTGCACCCAAACGTGTAGAACGCGAGTTGCTGACTCGGTTTCTTGGCGTGTCATTCTTCGTACAGGTCCATGTCTTGCTTTTCGGCGTGGAGCTCTGCGCACAAGTGCATCTCAGAGATCCTCCCGTGAGCGCGTAATAGGGAATCCGCCGTATGCCACTGAGGACCGAGACCGACAAGAACGACTGTGACGAACGAATCCTCCAATAAGTGTCCTCGGCTGCGTAGAAGCTTGTCACGTAAGCCTCTGCAACGATTGATGTAAGGCATCGCCTTTTCTCCTAGTTGCATCTGAATCGCCGGTTTTGTGTCACGCTGTCGGTTGCTTGGTAGACGCTCTTCAAGTGGCAATATGCCAGTTTGGCGGAGTTGCCCAAGTTGCGATATGTGCGAATGCTTTGTTGCTCCGTTGTTGTCAGGTTGCACAAGAGGATGGTGAAGGCCATCAGCGACTGGTAAGTGTAAATCTATTTCTCTTTTGTAGTCCCGTTTACAGGAAAATGCCACGAGCCGGTGAAGAAGCCGAGGATTTGTGCACCATCCATCAGCAACTCAAACTCAAAGCTCCAGGCGAAGAAGTCCTTCCCGTTGAACGGTGAGGACGTCTGTAGTTTCAATATATTGTTGAACTGTTGTTGCATGGTGACAATGTCTGTCTGCTTGTCAGCTGTCGTTGAGTCCACTGCCGGCGCGGGAGTTGGCAGGAAGGTGAATGGTCTTGGCGAGGGTTGGTAAGGTTGATGCTGTGTAGGTTGTGCGCCTCTTGCGTACGATGCGCCGTCGAGGCTCATTGGGATTGCCCCACTGCTGTTGTTGCTGTGTGCCGATTGAGCAGGTGTCGAAGACTGCTCGTAGGTCAATATGAAGGAGAAGAACTTCTCCATTAGATTTAGGTCCATGCCCATGGAGGAGGCCATTGGTTGTGTGGAGGCTCCTGCAGCTGCGACTGCCTCAGTATGTAGTCCAGAGACTAGGGGTGCAAAGGGGGATCCAGCAGAGGATATCTCGCCTTTAGATGGTGCCATGTCTTGTATCCTTGATTGATGAACTTGAGATTGTTGTGAATGGCTTTGTAACCAAGTTCAAACTCACTGAGGGGGTTTGTAATAGGAGCGTAGCTTCAGAATAGCTCTCATACCATGCTGGGCTGAGTATAGCCCAAGGATCTTTTCAGAAGGCTAAGTCCTTGTAACAGAGTGCTTGATAGCACAGAGGAAGTCTTGAGTTGAGCCCTTGTACTGGTATGTGAGAACAAGTGATTGATTATGGCAAAGAGATACAAGGTTTATATAATAATACAAGAGAATATGAAGAGTCTAACTATTTGTGCACTTACATTCCCTTTTACGACTCGATAAGGCGACTCGGGTAACCACCCGTACTGTAATATTGGGACGTTTATTTGTCCTTACTTTCGCGCTGACTCTTGACTCTTTCGATTCTGATTGTTGGGTTGCATGGTCAACGGTCTGCGACCTTTCGTAACCTTTGTGGGGTGTCGTCATCCTATGTCAACTGCCAGTGGTACTGTAGCAGTGTTGAATCGGTGATCCCTGTTTTTACAGTCTTCGCGTATTCGTACACTCACGCGAGACTCCGGAAACGCTTTAAGTTCTTTTATCATTTCCAACAGACCTAGTTATATCGTACCCACTTGAAATTCTTGGGGGGGGGGGGGGGGGCGGGTGGTAAAAACCAGGTGCTTAAAATGTTGTTGTGCCCGTTTGGAGCTTGTCCCGAACAGTGCCTATTTTTCACGAGGAAATTACTTTGATTCTATGATTTTCGTAGTTGATTTTGTGGACCACCCTTAGGCCTCTGGGTAATTTTTTTGGAACTGTTTGTTGTCTCTAATAAACCAGGGTTTTTTTTTTCACCACCCAGAGGGATTTACTGTAAGGGGGATACCCCCATATTTTCTTGTACCCCCCTGTCTATATATACATCCCCGTAACCACGCTTTGTTCACGTGGACTGCCGAGCTGGCCCACGTCATATGCTGCTAGATTCACCCTTGCTGGCGGATTCCCTGCTCCCCTATTGGACACTTGCGTGTTTTTTTTCACGTTGGTTTTGGCGCCACAACAGACTTACCCACGTCACCTGCTGCCACACTTGTACTCGCTGCACAAGTCTCTGTCTCTGATTGGTCCCTTAACCAATTTTGGCAGCCAGGCACCTCGACAACCATGCAATACGGGAAGATCCCCTTCTCGAACGTTTAGGAGGGCACCAGAAGGCAACTGGCGTTCATGTGGACGTACCACGTGCTTCAAGAAAAGGCGAGGAAACCCTCGTCTTCGTCATCCTGTTCTTGCCCCCCTTATAACACAGAGCCACTATCACCTAGTCGCCCAGTTTTGCGATCTCCTCTCACATCCCGTCGAACGTTTCCTCCCCGACCAGCCTTGTTTCCTCTCGCTGTCTTGCCTCGCCTCGATGCTGACGACGGCAGGGATGGTGATGCTGACATCCCGCTCTTACGTATTCACGTCCCACTTAGTGGCTTAGACTTCTTGCGCTGCTTAGTGACATCCCTAGTAGAGTCTTCGCCACTCCAAAAGTGTCGACACACCGCTGCAGAATCCAGGCGTCTGCCGCTCCCATATCTTAGCAACGACGAATGGGAGCGGGAAATGGATGAGGCTAATCTGTCAGCTGACAAGCCGGCAGATCCTCCACCTCCGAAACCCGTTACCTCTTCACCCACATCTGCATTGGCATCGACGAGAAAGAAGAGACGTCGTTACCCTAAACCCTTCGCGCCTCCTCCACCCGAGCCGACGCCGCTACCAACCCCGGCCCCCGTCGTCGAAGCACAGCTGCCCCTTGCGCCGACGCCTGCCAAGAAGAAATCAGAAGCTTTTCTAGTTGCCTAGAAGAATACACGACAGACTGGCACGGAAGGTTTCCTTGGCTCGTTCTGGATAAGACTGACGATAGCGCTCCTTGTTTGCGTTGTAGTGTGTGCATGCAGCATGGCAAGCCGACGGCCCGCTACGGTTGTGATGGGCCTCGTGGCAGGGATATGCAAATCAGCAGCATGCGTTGGCACCGGGAGAGCACCAAGCACGAGGCCTGCGTGGCGAAGCAAGCTCACATGGAGAGAAGGAGATCGAGAAAAAAAAATGCATGGACAACTTTGCAAAGAACGACCCTGATGCCACTTGCGTCATCAGGCTTCTGCGCTCCATGCTGTTCATTTGTAAGGAAGATGCACCGATTGCGATGTTTTCATGCCTTAATGGTCACCTTGTACAGGAGGGAGTGGAGGATATTCCGAAGTAGACTTACGATGCCTACATCACGAAGTAAGTTACCACCGTTGAATATTATTCCTGTTATGTCTATCAATTTACAATGAGTATCTAATACTATGTTCTTTCTGACGCAGGTATGGCTTTAGGGAGATGGTGAAAACCATGGTGGCTTTCTTGAAGGCACAGCAGATGGAGCACATCCACTCCTCCCCGTTTATTGGTATCAGCTGCGATGAGAGTACCGACCGAACCAGCGGCAAGCATCTCATCGTCTTCGGCACGTTTCTCAAGAAGCGGCGCTTCGTCATGGAATTCTTGAGCCTCCTCACCATCGACAAGTGCGATGCTGCCCCCTTGCAATCTGTTCTACTGGGACACCTCAAAGGGAGCAGCATCAAACTGCAGAAGATTGCTGACATCAGCACCGACGGGGCCTCGGTGATGACAGGCGAGCATAACGGGCTCATCCCGCACCTACGCATCCCGCACCTTGTCGCACGCCACTACATCGCATATCGGTATGCAGATTGTTTATAGTTCCGTATATCCCTGCCCTTGAGGCTCCTTTACTTATGAATTTCTTGTGGCATGTCTCATCGCAGAGAAGCGTTGGCGGTCAAAGACGCTTCCAACGCCTTCCCATACCTTTTCATCGTCGACGTCATCATCAGCACCTTCGGAGAGATCGTCGGTCGCTTGACGCCATGGTATGAGAGGTTCAAGGCTCTACAGCTCTTCATCCATAACACGAACCTTGAACATCAGGGACTCTACGCCACCAGGTGGCTTGCTCGCGGTGACGTTGTGCGGCGACTGTGAAAGATTCTCGGTGCAATCGTTGTCGACTTCATCGAGTACAAGCACAAGCACGTCGTCCTGCTGAAATCCTTCAAGTTTCACTTCTCCCTGTACTTCCTCGCGGACATCCTGGCTGAGCTCAATACTCTAAATAGGGTTTTCCAGCGCCGCACGGTGAGTTGACTCGTTTTCATTCCTAAAACGACACGTTGAAGTTACTAATGTCTAGGGTGCGTGTATGTCGGGAATTTTGTTATAACCTCTGTGCTATTATGTTTTGCCCTTGCCCTCCCACCCCGACCGTCAGGTGGACATCATCCTCGTTACCTAGGAGGTCGAGTGCACAGCCACATACATCAAGCACCGATATATCGACTACGGGGAGCGATTCGGTGGTGGGCTCAGCAAGCAGCTAGACAAGTTCCTCGCCCGCTACAAGGAGGGCAAGGGGTCGCTCGAGGTGCATGGCATCGTGGCCGATGGCGCTCTCTGCACGCACAAGTTCAAGCTTACGACGTCGCGCATCGCGGGACATGTGTTCGGCGGCACTCCGGCCGACTGCGAAGACCTTTGCTCGGCGTTCACCAAGGAGACCGTGCAGTGCTTGGAGGGGCAGTTGTGGGACATGAAGTGGATGGAGGGGTCGAATCTCTACAAGGTGGACCAGTTGCCCAAGAAGACCGAGGTACAGGATCGTTGGTGCCGCAAGTGGGCCGAGCAGAACATGGCGCTGCTCGACAACAAGCTGCTAGGTGAGTTTCTCGAAAAGTGGTCGTTGTTGTCATGTATCATGAATCTGGTTAGATTAGATCCCTATCCCTATCATGAAGACTCACTGAAAGGACGACAACTTCGCCCAGGGCTTGGCCAACATGATGAAGACGAAGGATTGGTTCAAGTCCTACCCGAACCTGATGAGGATATGGCATGTGCTGGCGGTGTTTCCCTTGAGCACAGTTGAGTGCGAGCGCGGATTCTCAAGGCAGAACGTCATCAAGGGATGGCATCGCACAAGCCTGTGACCATCAGCATGCTGGACTAAGACATGGACTACCCCCAGATCGTGGAGAAATGGATTCGCATTAGACACCGTAGGAAAGCTAGGAATGTTGAATATAAGCAAGAGATTCCCCTCTTCCCACAGCAGCAGGAAGCCGCAGAGAGCTCGGAGGATGAGATTGCCGTAGGCGGGAGTGAGGATGATGATGATGATGATGATGATGATGATGATGATGATGATGATGATGATGATGATGATGATGATGATGATGATGATGATGATGATGATGATGATGATGATGATGATGATGATGATGGTGATGATGATGATGATGATGATGATGATGAGTAAATCATATAATACTATGCTATGCTTCATTGCCAACAACTGCTGTCAATACTATACTTTGTGCAACTAGCGCAGTCTCACTAGAGTGGGAGAAAATACCACCCTAACTAGCCAGAGTAAAAATCTTGAAATCATAGGGTTACTCTGATGCCTCAAGGAAAATGTTGAGGACCACTCTGGTTTTCAGAGTACTGGTGAAAGTCACTTCCAGATTTCAGAGTAGTGAAAAACCAAAGATCAGCATTGGTCCCGTAGCATCGGCTTCACTCAACTGTAGCTGACACACTTTCGATCTTTCTTGTCGAGAATGATGAGAAGTGGTTGCAGCAGCTGTTACTGTAATTGAAATCCGTGAAGAGTGGCTATCACAACAGTCGGGCTCAGACGCGCTAACATCAATAAGTGTTACACAAACTCCATCAAATGTTCTAGGTCGACAGCAGTAAAGGGATGTTGCACCATATGATGCTTCTTTTCCAGATCCTTCTCCTTGGAACAAGTCCCCCAAGCATACTCTGCTGCCCTTCGTTTTCACCGTGGGTCAAATCTATTGACGAAATCCTGATCAAGCTGAGAGCACACTTCACAACAGTAGAGGTAGTTATCTCTCCCATTGCCTATTCGGCCTTATTATTCCCTTCACACCTGTCATTAACATTCCTCCTAGCAGTATCAGCATCCTCCATCCGCATACAGTAAGGGCCACTTGTAGTTTCCCAACTTTATGGCCTTCTTGGCTCAATGGGTAATTTTCCTAAAACCTCTTGGCGTCAGCAAACTCTAGAATCGTGTAGGGAGAAAAAATGTGTGTCTTCAATTTCTTCATCAATGAAGTAAATTGTAGAAATATCCTCGCGCTCCATTACGTAGCTTCCCTGGATAATTTCCTATTGGGGAAAATCGTTGGTGTGGTTTCATGCAAGGCTAGTAGGACGTGGACATCCGCTTCCATTGGATCAAGCTTCAGACTGGTCCTGGCCGACAATGATGGTGATGACTTTGCTCGGGTTTGTAGGACACATTCAGCGACCACTTCGTGGCTTGTCCTGATCTTCTCTTGGGTAGATTGGTATTTCCAACCGTAATTTGCAAAATCTGGTGAACCTTCCTAAATTTATAGATTTGGACACAGACCACTTTGTAATCCATGATGCGCACTGAATAGAGCACGTTCTAGCATAAACGTACAGCGACGGAACTTTCTGTTCACATGTTGGTCATGAAGTGGACAAAATCAGAGCCCATGAGAAACTGAGCAGGTTTTTTGTTTTCTGGTTTTAAGGTTCTAGTTGCTTCTGTTATAGGCTTGTGTGACAAATAACATGTTGTCCAAAAAACACACCATAATAGAACATAGAACAACCAAGATCAGAAGAGGTACACTCGGACAGAATGTTCCCAGGATGAGCCACAGTTGAAATTATCAATATCAATACCGTGTCCATCTCCCCTTGGCCCTATTTCTTGCTGTGATCCTCCTAGGCATACAGTCTAACAGAGCTTCACACACGCCAGCCCCAATGCTATCCCAGGTCTCGTGCACCTACTCCCAAGTTTGCAGCATGCCTGTGAGGGGGTGCTCATGCTTGGCGACCTGCTCGATGGGATTGGGGTCAGGGGGGGAAGAGGGCCATTGTAGGACGGCGAAATCTTGCTCTGCTAGCCACTCTTGAACGATCCTGCACTTGGGTTTGGGGTCGTACAATGTACTAGAAAGTCATGCCAGAGATGGTTAAATAATAAAAATCAAGAGGTTGAGCCACCTTGTCCTGCAATATGATGCGATAGAGTTGGCCACCCGTGTGACCATCAATCTTGCACATGTAACCAGGCACAACATACGTCATACATACTCAAACCATGACTTACCCACCCTCATGCTTCACATTCAACTTCACCTGATGCCCTTGGAGAGCAGTGCCTTCGCGAATCCATGCGTCGGTGCGGCTTTCCGAGCAATATCGAGCGATCCGTATCTCGTCCGACCTGATCACCCGCTTTAAGTCGTCCAGAGTCCAGTCCAAATGGGCTCTAGCAAAATACCGACGGTCGCGGCCGTTGCGTGCTGATAGTTGAGACTTGCACAGTGTCTGCACGGCGACTAACTCAGGCAGCTTGAGAGCATTTCGTGCAGTACGAGGGTGGACCTTAACATCGTTATACGATTCCAATGGATACACAGCCTTGATGCCCGTCAATGCGACACCTAACATGATGATGTGTACGAAGGTGCGCACGTGTCATGCTGGGAGCAATCGATATAGACCTGAAGAGGGGACTGTTGGCCTAGCTGCTAGATGACTACTACTGTGACTAGCCTTCATAGCATTTTTTTGGATGATTCGTCTCCCTATTCCTAGCGTACGTGCGATCTGTCGGAAACTCAGACCCTGGCGACAGAGCCTCATGATCCTCTATCTGTGACACGAAGCAAGTGGCCGCGTGCCTACTGGAGGCTCACGGGGTAAGGGGCAAGCATTAGCGGAAGTCTAACCGACTTTGCTAGCTCGTGCAAAAAATGCTCGGCGGAAACAAATCTAGTCTCTGCTCGGGTAGTATTTGTCCACATCGACCATCGAGCCTTAAAGCTTGTACTCGTTATTAGGAAATCGATATCTCCTGGCGTTCGACATATTTGGAGGTGCATCAATTGTTTCTGCATAATGTCCATAGGTTCCAGATTGATATCTATCCATTTATACTTGCAAAAACATCGCGAACTTGCTCAACAGTGCCATTTTGCGGACAAATTGTTCCGTCACTGTAACTGATGATGTCGGTAACGAAGGAAGGATAGTAGCTCGGTTATTCTGAGGCTACATGAAACCAAATGCAGCAAGTGCAAATACTGTAGGTTGGCTACATCCCCCTTTTTATTACGTGCATCATGCATACGGTACTAGTGATGTATGTGCCCTATCAAAATGACCATGTGACGGTGATGAAAAGTTTTGCCATGTATTGTATTTACCAGGATAAAAGACCCTAGGGACTTAACTTGTCCCTGTTGATTTTGGGGGTGTCTTTTGATTAGAGGGACGAATATACGGTAAGCCCCAGGTTCAAACTTATGCAAAAAAAAAAAAAAAAAAAAAAAACAACAGCAACAACAACAACAACCAAAAAAACAAACTAACCGTATTGAAGTGTGATGTGGAACATTAGGGAGTGGTTGGATGCCTCTTTTGATGGTCAAGGCGTGTCTCGAGCCTTATTCGTACTGGCATGCCGCACGATTCTCGGGTTTGTCACAATCCTACATCTGCTGGCTGGTTCATTGGACATGGATCAACCTCCACATTATGTCCCTGGTTATAGGGGGCAGCATGTCAATTTGCCAGACAACTATCCTTATCATGCTAGCTTATCGTGTGTTGTCAGCATCTGGGCCTCCACCCTGGCACGGAAAACTTTGTCTATAAGGTTTTCCCTTATTGCGATATCCTTTACACATCGTGGCTCGCAGAGGAATCCTATTACAGGGTAGTTTACATTTCATAGGGTATTTACCTTGACAACACCGTTCTTCCCATCCCAACCTTATCTCTTCATAATCCAACTCAGATGTCCAACTGCCATGTGGTGCCCCAATGTCACCACATAATCCAACAACTCATTTTCCCATAGTTCTTGCATGCGTTCACCAATATTATCAATCATTTTACTCAGTTACTTCTTCGCATACTTCACCAACATTTCTTTCGCCAAAGTATCCCGTCGTGATTTTTCTCATCTTAACCAACTCCGTTATTCTCCGTTATTCTCCGGCATTTGTCGCGCTGTTCTACGACATTTAGAGGGCTGATGCAAGTAAGCGCTGCTTGTGGCACCTCCACTGCTGCACCGGTTTTGAGGACGTCTGCGATAGCCAACTTTGTTAATTCCGCATGAGCACAAAGGAAGGAGGGCTAAGTGAACCCCACACTAACGTGTTCGTGCCTCTGTTTTTGTTTGTTTGTTTTTTTTTTTTTTTTTTTGGCTTCAAGGCCAGTGCCTCAAATTATGTGGGTGCGGTGGACTAGGACCATATCAATTTTGTGATGGTTTCCCACCTACTATGCCACCACTTAACTCCTCCCGAGCATGCGCATCATTGTTCGTAAGCCTGCACGAGCTCGGGCCGTCCATATTCCATCTCGTGTTCCCTCTCGCTCCCCCCCCCCCCCCCCCTCTCTCTCTCTCTCTCTCTCTCTCTCTCTCTCTCTCTCTCTCTCTCTCTCTCTCTCTCTCTCTCTCTCTTTCTCTCTCTCTCTCTCTCTCTCTCTCTCTCTCTCTCTCTCTTTCTCTCTCTTTCTCTCTCCCTCTCGCTCTCTCTCTCTCTCTCTCTCACCCCCCCTGTCTCTCTCACCCTCTCTCTCTCTCTCTCTCTCTCTCTTTCTCTCTCTCTTGCTCTCTCTCTCTCTCTCTCTCTCTCTCTCTCTCTCTCTCTCTCTCTCTCTCTCTCTCTCTCTCTCTCTCTCTCTCTCTCTCTCCCTCTCTCTCTCTCTTCCGCCCTTGCTCGTTCTCGCTTTCGCTCTTTCCCTGCATGGTCCCTAACCATATTTTTCGCTTTCATTCTCATGCCCGTACAGGTGGGCAAGCTTCGCAAGATATGCCTTTGGAGGTCGCTCCGGCGTAATACCAATGACCAAAGGTTTGTTTAGGGCAGGGGGTTGGTTGCATGCCTCGTTTCTCCCCTCATAAACCGAGCTATGCTTGCTTTATTGACTTTGGGCGATGCCGCCGATTGGCATGCTTGCTTTTGTTGAGAGAAACATTTTTGCTATTGATCGTGAGTAATGGCGTGAGAGCCATGGTGGGCTAGCAGCTTTGGGGGCTTTAATAATTCCCATATAAAGAATGTCAACACCTGGAAACAAGGGCGCGGCACCTATTGCAAGGGCCTTGGGAAAGGAGAGTTCTCATACACGTTTTCAGAAACTTTTCATATGAAAAATGTCAATGTATCTTGGTTTGCCCACCACATGAGCTTCTAGGGTGGGCCTTACACCTTGGCCTTCCCCCCACCGGGGTTTTATCACAACAAAAAACAACAAAAAAGCGAACCGGCACCTCAAAGGGTTGCCACTACTAAGGCTCCTAGGCAAGGACTATAATTTCCCCCTCTTGGGGCTAGGCCCTTGGCTAACACCCTTCCCCACCTTGGGGTCTGGCCAACGGCCTTAGAATCTACTCCCCCCTTGGGGATGGCCAACGGCCCTACGCACCAAACGGTGCCGTGGCACCTATTCCAAGGTCCAAAATTATCATGATTTTACTTCTCACACCATCGGTGCTGGCCCTTGGGGTCCGTGCCCATTGGCTGAGCAGTTGTTAGCCATATGGCCCGGCTGTCCACAGCGGAAACAAGCACTTCGGGAGCCCCGCTGGTCGCCACTTGGTGTTGGGCCAAACTTCCCTCCGAAACCCGTAGGGCCACGGCCTCCAACGGGGTTGCTGCGACCATGTGCGCCTTGTGCGCGTTTCATGGCCGCCACGTCCGTGACCGCCTGCTTGAAGGGGCATGAAGTGAGAACTCTCTTCTCTTGATAAAGCTTGAATCGATGCGCCGTCTTGAATTTGGAGGCGTCGGCGACTTGAAGAAGCTCGAACCGCTTGGTGAGAAGTGCGTACGCCGCGTTGAAATATTCGAGCGCGCCAGAGTTGTCGCCGTGGCGCACCTTGTGCTCTGCATGCTTCAGGTACGCACGCATTGCTTCTAGGAACTCTGCTTGTTCACGCACTCTAGCGCTGGCAAAGGAAGAGGCCGGGATGGTTGGGTTAGAGGAAGGAAGGGGTGGGAGGTGCTCGATGGGTGTGAAAAAAAATTTGTGTGCGGGAGCCTCACCAGCCTCGTCTTCGGAGTCACTGTCGTGGTTGGCCTGGCCTGGGGCTGCGGCGACGGCTTCCTTGTCGGCGCGGGCGACCTTGGGGGAGCGAGCATGGCATGTTGACTCCTTTTTTGTTTCTTCATTTTTAGTCGAAGTAGAAATCGTAGTCGCAACTGTTGTAATCGCGGGCATTTGCTGCTGTAACAGCGCCAACAGCGCCTGGACTTGGTCGGCAGTCAAGGCGGGGGCGGTAGGTTCTGGCGCGCTGGACGAGGCCACCCCGCGGCCTCGCTTGTTGTGACGCGAGGAGCCCGCTTGTCAGTTCGGCGCTTTGTCGGAGCTGACGTCAGCGGGTAGCGCGCCAGCCGCCACTTGCAGCTCTTGCTGCTGGTTGGTGCGTGGCTCCTTTGGGTTAACAGGGCTGACCTCGCCACTGCGCAGAAGCAACTCGAAGGCAGAGGGAGCAATTTCGCCCTTGTCTGCCCGACGCTTGTTGCTGCGATCACCCGCAATTTCGCGGGCGTGGTTGTCGGGCTCCGAAATATTCGGGGTGCTGGCAGGAGAATTGTTGGCGGGGGTGTTGGGAGCCATGGCAGCTAGGTTACGCTTAAGAATATCGGCGAGGAGGGTAGAGGGGGCTTGCCCGCGAAGGAGAGTTTTCAACTTCGCCAAAGTGGCGGAGCGAAAAAAATCGGGATGGGAACTCAATCGGACTTGAGCTGTGAAGAATGAAAAGAAGTGGGTGGAGGAAGAATGACCTCCAACCACATTATATAGTCGGAGAAGGGCGAATAGTGCACTTTGACGATGCCAAAATTGCATTACAAGCAACTTCGCGTTCACAATACGCAATTTCAAAAGTGTAACACTTTAAAATTTTACATGTTCTGGAAGGAATTGATGTCTTTGCTCATGACCAGACTCGCCATGTCATCTGCATACCATCCACAAACAGACAGACAAACCGAACACCTTAACCAAATTGTAGAGCAACTCCTCCGCGCAGGATGCAAGGACAACATCTTCAAATGGGACTTGCATCTACCCGTCCTGGAGTTTGCCTACAACAATGCCACTCACGCCGCTACTGGACAGACACCGTTCTTCCTCTGTTATGGATGCAACCCGCTCACTCCACAGAAACCAACAGCATCAGCCACAGTCCAACCTGCACACAACTTCATCACCACCATGGATCAGCTTTGGGATTGGACCCACAAGCGCCTCATCGATATTCAACCGCAACAGAAGTGCCAGGCCGATCGCCTCCGCAGTCACCACACCATCACTGTGGGAGACCATGTTCTACTCGGCACCCGCAATCTCGACATCAGCCATCTCCCATTCAAAATACGACCTTGCTTCTGCGGGCCTTTTCTCGTTGAAGCACATGTCACCCCCGTTACCTTCCGCTTACACCTGCAAGCTACCTGGAAGATTCACAACGCCTTCCATGTCCAACTTCCGAAGCCCTACCAAGATCCCAACAAGAACTTCACTGGATGCCAACCGCCGCCGCCACCGCCCGTCCTCGTCCATGATGAACCCAAGTATGAGGTCGAGTCCGTGCTTGAACACCGCCATCGTCGGAAAGGCTCCTTGGAGCTTCTCATCCTCTGGAAGGGTTATGATCCTTCTAAGGATACTGTAGCCGGGTCTCTAAATCTGATATGGGTAACGCCCGTCGCCTTCTTCACGACTACCTTGTCAAGCAGGGTGTTACTTCTACCACCCAGCTTTGAGGGGGGGAAGTGTGAGAGTACGACCCCGTTACAATTCTTTCTCATTTTTATGTTCCTTCTCTATCTTACTCTCCTTTTTATCTCGATTCATTTGGTCTTTATCTCATCTCATTTGGTTTCCTATTCCCCATTTTCTATTATCCTCTGGTTAATCCTATTTTTATAATTATATCACCGGTTAGGCTTGGGATGTACAGGTGTGCTATATCTAGCGTAATCCTTCTGTAATCCCTTAAAGCCAATAGCCTCATGTGGCTATACGCAGGGTGATTATATTTCTAGAAGGTTCTATTCCCTTTGTATAGGATAAACGTGGTTACCTGATGTACCTTGGAAGTATATAAGCGCCTTGTATCGAACGATATTGCAACTTTCTCTCGACCAATTCGATAATGTGACAAGTAGGCTGTTTCCATCACGCGAGTAGTCGCGGCCGTTTTAGTAGCGATTAGAGCGCATAGCACGAATAGTTTTGAACAGGTACATCACCGAACAGGTACTTCTAGTAGATATAAAAGTAGCTTGTCTCTCTTTTATTTCCAACTTGTTCTTCAAGTAAATTTTGAACACTACTCACAAGTTCTAAGACTTTCGCTATCTTACTAGTCTACCATTCCAGCAAAGATCCTTGATGAATTTGTGAAGTCTCACAAGGCTGCGGTGTCAATTCTGGTACTGCAACTTGTTAATACTGACTATTACTAGAGGTATTTTAGTATTCTTTTGTATTTCATATACTTGTGTCTGCAGATTCTATAACTAGTCTCCTATATCCTTTTACAATTTCTTACATGGTATGAGAGAGCTACTGTCTCTGGAATTAAGACTATCGTCAATGCTGCAAATGACCGGACCAACATCACCTCCAACACTGTGTTCCTCAACAACTGGACCCACATGTGTTACAAATCCTACAGTTTTTATAGGTCAAGCAGGTGATTCTGCAGCCGGAATTTTCCCATCTGCATATGCTTCAATTGGGATGCCTCAAAGCAGCAAGGGTTGCCTACTGTGCATCCACCGGGGACTTCGTCCTCTGCACCTGCAACACCGCAACAAGCATCACACCAGCAAGTACTACCGCAACAAGTAGCAGCATCAGTAACAGTGGCTTTTAGTGGCATGAGTCTTGATGGCTCTAGTTATGCAAGAGTTGCAACTGCTCGAAGCTCCGGTTCTTCATTCGCGCTTACACCTGCACAACAACAACAGTTACAATTTCTGCAACAACAACAACAACAAGCACAACAACAGTTTCAGTAGCAACCTCTTTACCTGCAGCAGCAACAGCCACAACAGTTTCTGCAACAACAGATTGGATTCACTGGATCTGTTTTTCAGGCTCCAAATCTTTAGAGTAACACACATATCAAGACGACAATACCTTTTTATGGCGCTGACTTCTACTCTTGGAGTTTCAAATTTGAGCTCGTCGCGCAATCTTCCAGATTATGGCCTTTCGTTAGTGGCGATTATTCATATCCTGTCAGGGGAACACAGATGGTTCTTCATGCTTCACTCATCCCCTATACAGTCCTCATCCGGAACCTGTCGATAAAAGAACAGCTCGGAATACGCTCCCTTGATACCAGCTTGACTCCAGCTAAACCTGCATGGAAGCAATTTGAAGGGGCCGTACATGGCACAGGATGCCATTTCCGTGAGTAAGATACTCTCACAACTAGAAACTGTGCAGATGCAGGGCAACGAAAATGTATCAGACTATGTCAACATGGCTCGCACACTTCGCGACCAACTCGAAAAATGTGGCGGATACTTCCCCAAGGACATGTTTATAACACTCCTTCTTGCCGGACTTGGACCAGAATGACAGCAGTGTCGATCACTTCTTCGAACTCAAACACGACAACAAGTATTTTGTTCAATACTGCAAAAAGGATGGACACACCATCAAATTTTGCAACAAGCTTCAGGCTGAAAAGAAAATAGGAGTGCAGCAGCCGTCGCAGCAGTCCAAGCAACACGTGAAGCAAAATCCACCAATAACAACTTCTGCCACATTAGGAAACCAAGTTTCTAGCTGTGTTACTACAGTTCATGCAACTCATTCAGATTGCGATGACGATGAAGGATCAAGCTCGACTGAACAACCTGAAAATATGGTCTTACCTCAAGTTTACGCTAATCTCGCTCGAATTATTGCAGGCCCCAACATTTGGTATCTCGACAGTTGTGGTGGTCAACATATATGCTCTACCAAGACGTTTTTCATTACTCATCAGCATCCTGTACCTGTCACAGTCGTCAATGGACAAACTATTATGGCACAACCAATTGGCAGTGCCATGCTGGAGTCCATTGACACTGGATTTTCCTTACATGTTACGAACATTCTCATCGTCGCTGGACTTGGTTTCAATCTTCTTTTGACAGCCCAACTCCTGCGACACCGCATCAGGACACAAGGAAATTATGAAACCATGGACTAGGAACTCTTATCACAACGAGACAAATACTTACAATATGGCGTCTCCGTTCTTCAATTTGAAGCACAAGGAACTTCGGGTGATTCCGAGAGAGTAATGTCTCTTGGACCTTAGAGACAACCTGAAGAAACCAATTATCAACTTGACTTCTATGCAACTACAGTTCCAACAGCATCTCGTACAGCAGTAGCAGTAATTACTACTCTTGATTCCTGGCCAACAAACACAGCCGAAGAAGATATGTCAGCATGGCGGAACTACTATGATACTCTAGGACAACGCACCAACAAACCTGCAGTATCTTGGGGACCGAGCAGCAGTAGCAGTGAAGCAGAAGCAGCTGAGCAACAGAGTAGCAGCAAAGCAGAAACAGGGATTCTCATCGGTCAACCTGCAACAGATACACAAGATACAGAAATCGAAGAAGGAGAGTTAGACGAGGAACCAGAAGAAAATCTCTGTTTTTTAAGTTTTTTTTTTACTACTAAGTTACCTCTTACTCGCTTCATTCTTGGACAAGTCAAAGAATCTCCAGTGCTTTCTCCTTTCATCACTTCTTCTTTTTACACTTACGCTGATTTTCATCTACGATCAACATGCCACAAAGCACCAGAGGACATATGGCATCAACAATTAGGTCATCCATCCAAGGGGTTTAAAATCATTCTATTCAAGCATCAGCTCTTCACAAGAGCAGCTTACTCTTACCTGATGGAACTGAAATGATGCATCTCGACCAACCGTCTACACCACGTGTGCCACTGCCAACCTTCCTTACGAACCTTTTCCAAGCCACTTTCCAGGATCCATTCGCTACAATCTTATGCAGAAGGTCTACAACGCTATTCGTAACTTACTTGAAGCTAGGCCTAAGGGGGAGGTCTATATGATATCATTTATCGAAGCTTCTATTCTACGTTTGGACTGTCAACATCCCAACTCGCCATATGGCTCACTCCATTTCCGTCGCGTGGCTCGCAGTAGCTGAGAGAAAATCGACGGAGAAGCTCCAAGAATTTCAAAGTGACGGAGCACGAGAGTATACCAGCAACACCTTCACTTAGTATCTTCAAACCCTAGGCATCAAATACCGAGGGTCCCTGCCACATCAACACCAACAGATGGGGGTAGCGGAATGGATGAGCAGAACCTTACAAGAGAAGATGCAAGTTTTGCTGACTCAAGCAGCACTTCCACCGCATTTTTTTATATACGCCCCCTGGACCATGCAGTTCTTCTGCACAACTTGCTGTCCACAATGTCTCTTCCACAATTTTGTTCTCCTCATCTGTAGTGGACAAAAACAGTTGGCAATACAAAATTTTTATGAGTTTTTGGCTCTATCATCCAATATCAACCACCAGATGCAGCACTCATATTTTTTTTCAAAACGGGCTAAGTGGGGTATACATCTTGGCATTGAGAAGCAGTTTTATGCGTGGAAAATCATGGATCTTTTCGCACAAGTCAAATCATACCAGTACGTGATTGTCCTTTCTACGAACGACTCACCATACCTATTTTTCGTGCCCACCAGGCAGTAGCTATCAACCCTGCCATGCTGTTCGAAGGTTCGCATGCTTTCACTACCGACGAAGCTGAGGCAGACATATCGGATGAAGCTGTTGCCGAGGCATCCGAAGTAGCTGCCATTGACATCCTTGTGCTAGCCACGTCATCAGGAACTACTGAATTCATCCCACTCAGCGCCGCTGATCCTGAAGACGTTTGGGATGTTCTTCTTGATTACGAGCGTGATCGCCAGCAGCAACCCATGCTCGTTGTCTCTGAACGAGCTATCCGTGTGACACCTGGCGAAATTGAGGGGAACAAGGGTCAGAAGACAGTTTCTCCGGTGTCAACTCCAATAGTACTCGTTTTACAGAAAAAGGATTACAAGTTTTGGGACTTGCAGTTGCACTACAGTGGAATAACAGTAAGATTTTGGGGCCGAAAACTGTTCGACAAGCCTTAACAAGTCCACAAAGGGAAAAATGGCGAGAAGCCATGGACCAAGAGTTAGCAGCTCTCAAAAAGCGAGGTACATGGGATCTAATACCACTTTAAGAAGTCAAAGGGAGTAAGGTACTTACCGGCAAGTGTGTTTTTCGTGTGAAGACGAACACTGATGGTTCCTTTGAAAAATTCAAGGCACGGTGGGTTATCCACGGTTTCGAGCAGACTTTTGGACTTGACTACGAGCTAACCTTTGCTCATGTTGGCAGTCACACTAGTGTCTGCATTCTACTCTGCGTTGCAGCATGTTGTATTCAGACTTCGCCAAATCGACGTCGCCAATGCATTTTTATACGCACCCGTCAACGCATTAATCCTAGTCGAGTACCCGCATTCTTATGAAACTAACCCTCCAAGCGTGTGCCATCTCAAAAAGTCTCTCTACGGAATTAAATAGGCTCCACGCCTGTGGGAGCAATATCTATACGCTCAGTTACTTGCTACCATGTTTCGCCAATTACCGCACGACCAG